ATATATATATATATATAGAAGACATATATATATATATATATATATATATAGAAGCATTTATTTCTTTCAAGCAATCATTTAATCCGCTGATCTTTATAACAATGAATTCGAAATGTTATCAATTGTTAGCATAAATTCTAGCAAGCAAAATGAATTTTAAAATAAACAACTAATTTAATATAATCGCTTTAGTTCGAATTTAAACTTTTTATATTAAAATTTCATATAAGATAGTTAGCTAAACTAATAATATAAGCATGCACAAGCATTTAATTTTCTTTAAAGTTTTGTAATTTCAAAAAAGAATTATAATTTCAATATCGAATTTGTGAAATTTTTTGCCATATTTCAATTACCGTTTTGTTCCAAATTAGTTTTAATGAAAACAGGTGTCATTTATTTTTTTTTTTGGAAAAAAATTTTATACACATATATATATATATACTTTGCATTCCCTATACTGTGATTTAATCCTTATTTTTTAATAATAAATCAGGAATGAATTTTATAGTTGTGGCAAATCAAATAGGTGATTTAAAAGTACTGTTTAAATTTCCAATTTTTTGAATTGATATTGTTTGTTTAAAATTTCATGTATACTTATTGGTTTAATTTTTTTTACTTTATTGTCAAAAAATGTACCTAACGAAATTACCATAAATTGGATAATTTTAAATGGTTAATTGATTTTAGATAAATCCTATTTAATGTCAAAATATGATAATTATTGATAGGAAAACTATAAATATGATAATTACTGACGAAATACGATAATTATTGAAAATTCTAATCTTGCAAAAACAACCTAATAAAAAAAAAGTGAAAACAGTATCCATAACAAATATATAATTGAAATTATCGCAGTAATTAAAATGAAATAAAATACCATTTAAATTTGATTTAAACTGTAAAATCTTAGGTAATTAATTTGAAATATATATGTATATGCATATCTTCATACTTGATTAAATGTTAATACTGTAAATTTGCTGTTATCGTGAAATAACTCCGTGTGGAATAAAATTCCTAAAACATACTTTTGGCACCAATCAAATGCTTCATGGTATTTTGCATATTTAAAACAACATATGTACCGTATGCATACACTTTTACTGTATATATAACAGTACCTATGTATTCATACACACCTGCCTGCATACGCTGTATCGCAATATGTATACGGCATGTGTACTGTACCCTATAGTACAATTGTCAGAATCTTAAAGCAAGGAAAAATGAAAATTTAATCACTGTCATAAATTTTCTACTTTCTGAATATAATAGGATGAAGGAAACAGGACAAGGGATGGTATCAGGAAGTGCTGAAGTAAAGAGAATAAACAGGTTGCAAAAAACAAAAACTTCACCTAATCTAGATGACATAATGAACAAAACCAATCAACACTACACTTTTTGAATCTTATTCAGTCCTGTGTCACTTACAGTATCACATATATCACTACATCATTTCTCAACAACTAAATTTATACATACCCCTTTTTCCTCTAATTTTTATCATATCAAAATAGCTCGTGTATATTGATAATGCTGACGACAATTTGTTTTTTTTGAAATTTTGCTTTTTTGAATTATTTTAAAAAATTACATAGCTAAAAATCATCGTAAATTTATTAATAAAAATTGCGATAAAATAAGTAAATCAAATTATGTGAGCAAAAAAGAAAAAAACAAAATAATGATTACAAGATAGTTATTTGGGAAACTAATTAACGATATGCATTCTCATTTCATTATTTAGGTGTACAAATATGTTAGCAATACTAAGCGGAGAACATTTTCAAAATGAATAAAATGCAAAAATTTTCGAATGATTTGAAAGAAAGGAAAAAAAAGCCATAGCATATAAGAATAGCAAATGTCTATGATAATTATTTGCAATATTTTTGAAAACTATTGCAAGAGATATGCGACGATAAGGATGAAATGATAAATTTACTTGGCAAAAAGAAAAAAAAACAAAAACAGGAAATTCAATTATAAATGCAGGAAGAAATTTTGAATTCAAATTTGTGGTAAAATAACATGCATTAGAAGCCGAAGTATTGTTACTAGTCACTTGTTGTTGCTACTTAATGGAAATGTACCAAAAAAAAAAAAAACCATTTAAATTTAGCAAATATTTAATGTCAAACAACAAATCTATACGAATTTTAAGTGATAATTACCTCTTGAAGAATTATTTGTTCACTTGATAATCCAAGTTAACTACCTTTGCTGAAACTTTCCTATACAGAATTTTCATATACATATATCTCCTAATGCTATAAAGTAAGATGCGGTTTGATAAGCAGTATGAATTACCTTTCTCGAAAATGATCAGGAAGTAATCGAAACAGTAACTTAATCACTGATCACTGGTGTCTTCACGATAATGCCTACAGTTTAGAATGATATATATGAAGGAGGTTCTCAAGGTTAACCGATAAATCGTATTATTTAGTACAAGAAAAATACACTTGAAAAAGGTTCAATTTCTAAAGTTAGATCAAGTCTAAACTCCAGGAAAAAATTCTGACTTCCCAAATGTAGATTAGAGGAATGCAGAGAGATATATATATCAAAATAGAAATGAATTTAAAAAAAAATATTTATATATGCAAAAAAATAGTATAAACGGCAAAAAAAGGCAAAACGAGTAAGGGCGGAATGAAAATATAAAATGATTCCAAAATTGCAAAGTAAATAAACGACCATAAAATTCATGATTGTATAAATAAAATAATGTAAGAATTTTAAACAAAGACAACTAAGGTTATTGAGACCCACGTGTGAGATGATATAAGAGATATGTAATACACGCAATATTAACAAAATAAAAAATGATTAGAAGCAATTAATATTGCTATAAATAAATATAAAAAAAGTATATATATATATATATGTATATATATATATATATAAAGTATATATGAACAATAAAGCTAAAATCTTGGAGAACATAGATTTCTGGATGATATTTATAAGACACAACTTTTGGGAAAAAATTACATTGAAATTCTGTTGGTTTTCAGAATAAACCATTGCTTAAATGAGAATATAGTATGTAAAGTTATTAATTAGAGAACAAACAAAAAAGTCATCATAAGCAATTTGATGTATTTTGCTATTAAGTCTCAATGCCAATGATCTCTATGACAATAAGTAGTATATTTCGAAGTGTTTAAATTTCATCAAAAATCAATTAAAATATGGATAAGATTGATGACTGCATGCTTCCCTTTTCTTCTGATCATATAGCATACTAACACAAAAGAACAAAGAAAAAGAAATTAATGGATCAGGAAATTGTTTTTGTCAGTATCACGACGATAATTATGCATATTTCATGTATCAAACACAACTACCATTTAATAATCAGTCTTTGAATTGTCACATAAACGGAACTGTTTTTCTCAGAAGAAGAAATCATACACAATGTTTGTACTTCATTTTTATGGCGTTGTACTTATTAACTAAGTCCAATATTCAGGGAAGAATTTCATAAATCATCCATTGTTTGCTCGATTTCACGCTGTATAGTGGATGCTTTGTAACGATTCTTCAGAGCTTTCTCACCGATCTGCTCCGCAAAGAGCTGCATTTTATCGCGGAATCCTAATTTGGAACCATCAATCTGAAGAAAAATGATTTCGAAAAGTAGATGAATTAAACCTTTTCTGAATTAAGATTTTTTGAATTCCTGCTACATCCCAAGAGGATTAATATTAAGAAATATAAAGGTCGCATAGTCTGCATCCACGTCCCACTATTTTACTGAGTCAGCTATAAACAACCACCAATGGAGACCAAATTTTTTAGTTGAAGTCGAAAAATCACCTTTGCTTCTTTTGCTGCATGTTGTTTTGCTTCCAATTCAATAAGGCGTGCCTGTCGTGGATCTCGATATATTTCATGAGTGCCAAGTACCTGAAGTGATAAGACGATGTTTACAAGCTTTCTTTTTCTTCTGAACATATAACATGCTAACAACAAAAGAAATTAATGATCAAGAAATTGTTTTTATCGGTGCTACGACGATAATTATGCATCATACCTTCGTGTCAAACACAACTACTATTTAATTATTTAATATTTAAATTATTTAATATTTAATTATTTAATATTTATTTAAATATTTAATACTATTTAATTATTGTTAACAATCCTTGAATGGTCACATAAAAAGAACTAAGAGTTTTATTTTTCTCAGAAGATATCATGGATAATAATACGCGACTTTCATGATAGATTAAATCAAGAAACAAGTGAAATATTATCACAGTTTTTATTTTATGAACAAAAAAATTTACTTGAGCTCTTGGTTCCGGTTGATCGTCATCATCGTAAATAAGCTTATTATCACCGTTGGAATGTGTTTTCCCATGATTTTCTGCGACTTTGTCATCCCACTGTACTCCCTTTTTCTTTGTTACCGTTTCATCGGAATTCTCACTGAACAAAATTTTGAACATGACTAAATTTTACAAATATATGATGAAACACAAAGGCATTATTAAAAATGAAGTTTACTGTGGTAATCCTTGATCTTCTGAGACGTAGAAAAATTGAATATTATATAAATCAAGAAAACATACTTAGTCAACAAAGAATCTTTCTTTTCTTCCAGAAATCTTTCTGCATCAACTGCAAGAGTATTTAGCTTCTGCTGTTCAGGTATTTTTCCCACTTCATCAACTTCTGAAAATATTATCTAAAATCAGACATATAAAAAACCAGTCATGTTTATGCAAGAATTCAAATGGAGAAAATAAACTAAAATCTAATGTGAATTCCTACCAACCTAATTTTATTGATGTCTTTTCACATTTTTCAAATGTTGGTAAGTTTTCCGGTCGTTCAAAGCAGCAATCATTCTGTCTGGCAGGTATAACGATTTCTCGCATTTGGGATTTCGATTCCTCTTGTTCAACGATGTTCTTGCTTGAATTTGATTCAATCGGAAATGGTATGCGAATTTTTGCTAACTCGTTAACAAGCTCACGATACTTTTGATGATCTGCCTCAGTCATTGCAGAACCTTTTGATTCAAGCTCATCCAGCTGCTTGTTTAACTCATCTCGCCTCTGCAGAATACGAAATGTTAAGACCACAAATTTCTTTTTTTCAAATTTTTTTTTTTAGAAATTTCTGTTGTTTTTTTTTTTAAAGAATGAGGACAGGAAAATGTGCAAGAGTTTAGATGAAAGATTTCGGAAAAAATCGATAATTCGTATATTATGACACAGCGAAGTATAAAACTACAAAAACTACAAACTTCGTAAAAAAGTTCAGGTAGTACTTCGTAAAAAAAAGTTCAGGTAATCAGATACCAGATTTTGAGGCAAACCAAAAACAATGAGGGGAAAAAGAAAACCATACAGAAAAAAAAAAACCTACAGTGATATGACGCTTGGGTGGTACAGGTGGTGCTTTCTTCGTAAACCGACGTCCTGGACATTCATCCATCACCATTCTTGGTTCTTGTGCTACAGCAACAGCTGATGATCGTGTAGAATCGTGCGATGACGTGGAAGCAACCGAATTCTGTTCACGTAACGTGAGATTTGTACTAACAGTTCGTGAAGCCTCAAACTGTTGCTGAGTAGAACTGTGTGGAAAAGGACGCTGATACGGAAGGATGCTACGGGTAGAGGTAGAAGAATAGGATGATTCGAAAGTAGAATGGTCTTCGATCAAGGGTAAATTTGCATAATCGGTAATCGGTGACGACGATGCACTTGACAGAACATATTCGGACTGCAAACAAACAAATAAACAAAGAGAAGAATGAAGAGAATCGAAATTGGGGAAAGAAGTAAAGCCAGTACAAACTCCAAATTTCCTAGTTTCTGAATTCAAAGCTGAATTTTTAAAATACTAAAATTCCCATTTTTCTTTCAAACTTCGAGTTTGATTTTAGTGATAAATTAAACTCTGTTAAGGTAAAGGTTGCTTTAGAAGTTCTACTAAATGAGCTGAAGGAGCATTCTCGTACCATGCAAAGAAAATTCAACAAAAAAAGAAGAAAACGATAGTACAGGAAAAAAAACAGTACAAAAAGAAACGTTGCTTATGCAACACTGACATGAAATATCCAAGATATATAAGGTAATACGACAGCAACGGTGGAGATATAGTTAAAGTAAAAGGATAAGCACAAAGGTAATGAAATTTTCAAAGAAAGGAAAAAAAAACCTACTGATAGAGCGTTTTTCAGTGCTGAATTATGGCAATGATTGGAAGAGGACAAAGCCGAATTGGCATAAAAATGAGATGGAGAATGTGATCGTGAATGACACTGCTGTTGCTGTTGACGTACAGTTGGCGATGGCGTGGGACGTGAAGGTTGAATAACGATGGGACGAACATTCCGATAATGAGATGGCATGGTACTACGTTGAGAGTTTGTACTTGTTTGACATTTTTCACAATGTACTGGAGCAGTTGTAGCACCAGAAGATGGCTGCAACGATGTCAGAGATATCGTCAGTGCTTTGTCAACCTGAAAATGAAGATCAAAAATAGAAAATAAAAAACATGTATATTTCTTGCAAGATATTGAGAACTGATAAACTAGACCGGATTCTGATAAATGTCAGATGTTGAAGCTGAACGACTTTTGATGGGTTGCTGATTGGTTGCAGTAATAGAACCATCTTGCAGTCGTGTCCGATAAGTACTGTTATTCGTCGCCCCAGGATATCCGTTACGGGCAGGTTTCTGGAAAAAAAATATAATTAGTGCACCGGAAATGATTTCTATAAAATGTTTCTGTAACAAATGATGTTGAAGAAAAGATAATTAGCATAGGACTGGCAAAGCTGATATGGTTGTCCCTTAACCTATGACCTATGAACATGTCTCAATAACAACGAAAGTACCACATTCAACAGTCGATGAATTCTTTAGACAATGAAATAATCAAAAAAAGTCTGTAAACTGAACGCTTTCAGAAAGAGATGATATCATTACGTTGAAATGGGAATTACTGGAATAATTAGAAGCCATGGATGTAGCTGAATTTTGGCGTGAAAATCGCTGAGTATTAGCAGCTGTAACATGCAAAACAATATAATAGATGTATATTATGACTCACATATGACAGAAATTATAAAATTTTAAAACATTAAGACAAATTTCAATATAAATACATGTGCCCAAAAATTTTAAAATTATTGTTTTGTAAAACAAATAACGCAAAATAATAAACAGTACAAAAGCATTGAGTAAAACGGATTAAGTTGTGACAAAACTTAATCTTTAATTCGATTCATAAAAGATTATTTGTTAATTTTGAAATAAAATTTATTGGAAGAATGTGCTCTTGTTTTCAACCAGCAACTGGCAAAGCTAAAATTGCTATAATAAGTTATCCAGGAGTGGAATTACGAGGAATTCTTCAATATAAGATTTTAGAGAATTAACAATGACAAATGCATATGGTTACCGTAAACAGTTGCATTTTCCGAAGAATTTGGCATGGTCGACTGTTGAGCAGGAGGTAGTTGACCTGCCTACAACACAATAACTTATAAATACTGGCGACAAGTTCCGGTAATTCTGCTAATTATTTTGCTTTTAATGATAAACGCGCGGACAATGTCTTCTCGGCTTATTCAAATCTTTTATGCCATAAATAATGTTCCCGGCTTGTTTTGGGGGCATAAACGCATTATATCACCGCACACCTAACTTAGAGTTCTTTCTCAAACGATAGAAATAGTTCTTAGGAGGTTGCATCTTTATAATTTCACTGTATCTAGGGTAAACTGTTATGGATTACCGAATCAAAATTGTAATATATTGCGACAATTTCGTACAATATCGTGAATGTAGAAAGACACGTACCTCTAATATGGATAAAATAGTCAATGGGGTACAAAGGATTTTCTTCGTTCTTCGGCGATTGTCTTATACACATCGGTGTGTATTTTATCCTCAACCAACGAAAAAGGAGGGAGAAAGGAAGAGGCAAAATCAGAAAAGAAAGAAATGGGTCTCAGAAAGAGTGACCTGTACAACAGAATGGATGCCTGATGATGATACTTGTGTTTGTGGAGGATTATTTAACCATTCGTACAGACCATTGTATCGTGCGGCATGTTTGTATACCTCAAACGATACGATCGGTCCACTCGAGGACATTTTCGATGCCGCTCTAAAAATAATTGAATAATTTAATTCATTGTTGAAAATACTAATTTTCTCGTTTTGCAAATGCATAATGTCCGCTAGGTGACAACAGCCTTGTCACCAATTCTTCTTTTCTAACCATATCGTTATCATCCGTTCATCCTTGAGAGTATAAAAAATTGCGTAGAAAATGTTCTTAAAATTGCTATAACACATATCTCAAAAAACCTTCATATGCTTAGAATAATAGTGAAAAATGATCGCACTTAGAGGATACGAATTGAGAAAAAAAAGACCCATAAAACTTAAAGGACCAACGATTTTTTTTGATCAACAGATAACTTTAGGAAAAAATTATCCTAATCATAATAAAAAGTTGTTAAGCACTCATGAGAACGAATAAACGCATTAACTTGGAATCTCCCTGATAATTTAATACCATTTATCTCTTTAATTAAACCAAAGTTTTTAGTTTCTACCAAATAAAAAACGAAATCTAATAATACATTTCAAAACATACTCTTCTTGGCTGATGCCAATAAGTGACTGGCCATTGACAGAAAGTAGCTGATCTCCAGATTCAAGGCGACCATCCTTGAAATTAACAGCTTTTTAGCTCTCAAAATTTCAAATTATGCGTTTTATTTGGTAGTAATAAGTTTAAAAACTCTTTATTTCAGATTTAACATACGATGCTTCTGAAAAGTGGTCGATATACCTGGCTTAAAAATTTTTAGAATCACTACCTCATTTACACATCTAATAAGTCTGTATGCATCTTATACAACCTAATAACTTTATTATATAGGTCTGTAATGAATGATATAAAGAAGTTTTAGACAAAAGAGTTTCACAAAAACATATCAGAGTCTTCCATTGAAGCAACAGAAACAGAAAAATGAGCACATACCCGATGTGCGGCGCTATTATCCACAACTTTCTTTACATAAATACCAATAGAACGTTCTCCAATTCCCTGAACCACGCAAAACATCATTTTACAAATGACTGTAGAAATAGAAAGTGCAGAATATCAGTTAATATTTCTTTCAGACAACAAAAAAATGCTGAATAAATTATTAGATCCGTTTGTGAAAGCGATGAGAATAAAGAAATAAGTCAGCGATCAATGATAAACAGCACGATTGACAGGAAAGATGAAATGACAGATTGAAATCAATTTTTTCTTTCCTTTTTGCTTGATTTCCTAACTTTTTAAAATTTCTTTCTTTGACTTTTAGTAAATTTTCAAATATATAGGCAGATAGAGAGCAAGGTAAAATATTAGAAAAGTGAAATAGGCACGAATTGTACGTATGTGAAGTAATAAAGCCAAATGAGCAGAGGTCTTTTAGAACAGAAGATTAAAATGATAAGTATTAAGGATTATACGGAGGTATTACATAAATGTATAACAGTGAAAGGAGCAATTTTGCTGTGTAAAGTAGGTTATATGAGATATCATCAAGGTATTAAACTATTATTTCAGCGGTTATGACTTTGATGCATTACATAAAGTATTCTATAAGATAAAAAGTTGGTAGATAACTGATGACAGTATGTACAGATACAACGCTTACTAATGTTATCCTTGATATGTTATAGATTGGTAATGATAAGGAAAATTTTCCATCGTCGATGTAATTTTAGATATCGTTACATGATATGCATACATATACTGTTCTTTTTTCACTGACTGTTCTATCACTACCCTTCTAATTCGCATTTAAAATGGCAGAATTTAAGGAAAGTAAAAATAACGGAGTAAGGGGGACTGAAAAAGACAACAAAGAAAGAAGGAAGAAAATGTGGATTTGATTTTCCGTAATAAAAGGGAGAAACAGTAGCAATACAGGGAATAAGAATTAACATATACTTAATCTTTCCTCCTCCTTCTCTTCTTACTCCGAGTGTTTTTTTCCTTTAGGAGTATTTCAATTTCTAAAGTTGGAGAAAGTTGATTTATGAACATTGAGTTTCGGTTACAGTTTTTTGTCCTTCATTTCATAACAATGTCATTTGCTGTGTTGAAAAATGCTATTTAAATAAAGTCATCTTTACAAGAAAGTATAGATGAGAGAAAAGAAATTAAGAAATTCCAGCGAGAATTCCATTTGGTAATAAAATTTTATAGCATCTTTCGTTCATCTGAACGAAAAAAGGTAATAATGGCAGGATACAAGAAAACGAAAAAATATTTATGATCATATTAAAATGTCGATCATAAGAGAGGAAATTTTTAAAACGTAATATAAAATGTACCTGAGCAGCTACAATACTTAATCCGATTCCACCAGTACCACGATTAATACTGACCATTACAATTTCCGGATCTCGTTCCTGAAACTTGTGAAAATGGAATTTTTTTTGTCAATTATTTGTTCAATTTAGAGGTCCGAAAGTGAACGGAACCATATATGTGGAAGTCAGCCACCTTTGACATTTCAAAAAACCGCATATTGGTCATCTCCTACTATATTATTGAACATAAGGTCTTCAATACCAAAAAAAAAAAAAAAAAGAAAACAAACAATATACCTTATTTTACAAAATAGAAATTAAAATTTTTGCTGGCATAAACATATACTTTGTTAATTATTCAGCCTGCACCAGAAAACTTTATAGTTTTATTTGGAATTAAACAATCTAAAGTTCAAATATCAAAAAACCACAGTTCCGCATTCGACTCCAAAAGACCTAATAAAGTACACATTACGGAAAAATCCATCGATTGCATGATTCGGAACTTCATGGCTACTACTAGCGATAATAACATGGATCACTAAATCGCGCTGATTTAAGATTATGGAAGATCTGAGCACTTGCGTCCCGAAAATTCAGTCGAAAGAACTTGTAGGCCAAGCACGTTCAACTATACTAACATTAAATAGAAATTTTTTTCTATCCTCTTCCCGTCTACTCAATCCAATCATGGCCCCAATAATGAAACTCCTTTCAGTTATAATCTTGGGTAACCATGAACAGATTATGAAACTCCTAACCTTCAGTTATAATCTTGGGTAACCATGAACCGATTCAATTTTTAAAAAACCTTCTTTTCAAATTTTGAAAATTTCAAAAATCAAGATCAACATAAACCTACTCGTCTGGATAGTGAATTTACACTGGACATCGATTTTTGCTCATGCAAACTGTTCGATAGTGTTTCTGTTTTTAATTTGGTCGGTTCTTTGTCCTGCAACGAAAACTTGATCATCACATCATGATTATCTTTGGTAAAGGACATGTTTATACTTCAACAAATTTTCCAAACATTCTCTTTAACTTTTTTTCAGTTAAGAATGAAAGGAAGGATTTCCTGGACAGTAAGAATACAAAATAGTTCAAAAAACACGTAAGGGCTGCTTAATTTCATGATTTTCCGTCAATTATATAAATTTGGATTTAAATGTACAAAAAATATAAATAAAAGAAAGATGAAAGAGTTACCAAACAAATAGTTTGATCTTAAAAAAAGAGAACGAAATCATCAAATTAAAAATCTTAAATGCATGAAAAATTTCACAAGACGGATGTGTGATATTGTGGAAAAAATTTTTGTGAAAATATCCCTTTTTTTACAGGAGAAAAAAACAAAAAGTTTTTTCTTTCGAAAATTTCTCGACTTATCCATGTAACATGAACGCATATAGTTCGGCATTTCTGTCTCAACTTTTTACCCATTTCCTTTCCCTCTCAACCTCGATGAATTTAGTTTTCCTCGACATAAATTACATCGCAATAAACATATGGTTAGTCAAAAAAGCATCGATATCAACGAAAGAAATATAAGAGACAGTTCAGATGTAAGGCAGATGTTTATGAAGTTTGAGCGGTTTTAAAAAAAAACGTATGCCTGAAGATCTTCAATCCCCATTTTATTCATTATATTTACAATAACTTTGCTCAAATTATACGAAATGTTATAATCTCTTAAAGACAAGCACTAAAAAATACTCTTTAAGAAAAACAAAAACTATCTCCAAAAAGTAAAAGTTATGTCATAAACCGGTCAACGAAAGTGCAAGGTTGACAATCATGTGGTGATCACAACTACAAGATATTATGAACGTATTTTGATCATTTCAAAAACTTCGATAGAGACGGAGGAAAATACGTGAAATAGAATTTCTCAGATGACGTCCGAACAATTCTTATAAATCAAAAAAAGTTAAAAGTAACTCGAAATAAGTATATACAAGCTAATATGAATACATGAAATTTTATTTACAGAATATTTTAGCTATCCTTACAATCCCTTGGAAAAAACACCGACCAAAATATCTATTCAAGACATTAACATCAATCAAACAGGTGTCATGTTCTTCATCTCTTTTGAATGATACTAAATTTTGAATACCACGAAAATAAATTATGAAAATCATGAAACACACACATACATATATAAACACATATGCCCATTCACATTATTAGTTCGTCTAAATTAAACTTCCTCGCAGTCCAATGAATTTACGAAAGGACTTCAAAAAATACTGAAGGAAAAAATGGAGATATTCAACGAGGTTATTTCCTAGTAAATAGGGCAAATAACCATCATAAACATGCGAGAATTCGTTCTGATTATATGAGCATTTTTACACCACTTGAAAACGGATATATTTCAAGTGATGATGACTGACGGTAGGAAAATTACATATGAAAGGAGAAATACATGATACGACTAATACTGACTACCTCGCATACTTACTGATGTTTGTTCAAACCATCAAATAACATCACTCAAAATGTCATTATTTTCTTCATATTACTCCGATGTTACCATCCACACCAAATATAAAAATCTTTCAGAGCCCTGTTCCAGTCTAACATAACCACAGAAAAACTCTTCTATCCTTGAATACCTAATATTTGTCTATCATTTCCTTCTTCTATTCTCATCTTCCTTCCACTCCCACATGTGGCTATATTTTAGTCAATATTTCTAATAACCAACAGTTTCCAATAGTTGGAATTCCTTTAGGATCACTTTAACCAATGGTTTTTCTCTTTATGATCCCTTTTATTTTTCCAGTGTAGTATTTCATCACTTCCTGCGTTTGTTTATAAATTATCTATTGAAAATGATGAATACTAAAATTTCATGTATTTTATCAAGAAAAAAGAGTGAAACTAAACTTTACTGTCTTACCAATCAAAACACAATGTCATATTGAGAGATATAAATTACCATGAATTGGCGGATTTCTGCAGTACTAACTTATCCAGAAACCACATGCAACTGTACTACGCTTAGTAGCACACATGTATATAGCACACATATAGCACACATGATGCCACTATCGATACATGGATTGCAGGTAAGTAGATGATACTAATAAAGTAATACAAAAATTGTCAATGAAACAAAATAGTGTTGATGGTTCCATAAAAAATAAAAGCAAAAAATAAAAAAAAGCTAACTGTGTAGTTATTGTTATCTCTAGTGTGGATCAAAACAAGATTCGTAATTATTGCCAGAAACTCAGTATGTACCTGCAATTTTTGCAATGAACCTATCATTTTTGTAGATTCTTCGCTTGCAGATCCAGCTTTTAGAAAAACTGTCCAACTGCCTGAGGAATGGTTCTGTGGAAGGAAACGACATAAGCCTGAAAAATTTTATCACATTCCAAATGATTTTTTGCAACGATATTAGTTCTTTGATATTAATTCAACGACATTAATTTTTTGTAATAAAAATTAAGAATTAAAGTATTTCTAATATCTCAAAATAGTTGAAATATTTGAGAAGGTTAACCGAAAATCAGCCCAAATTTAAGCAAGAAATTCAGACAAAAAGTACCTTGCGCTTGCAATCCACTAATTACTTCAGCAAAAGCAGGAGAAAGTCCACGGATGAGGTCTAAAAATTATTTTTTAAACGACTTTTTTAAACTATCTGTAAAATCATGTTTAAGATTCACGTAATAGAAGACACAAATTATGGATTACTTCTGAATTACCTAAACATATTTAAATACGAACAAACAAATAAACATTTGACAGTTATGGAGTGTCGCGAAATCCGATTCGCGAGACTCCAACCATACCCCAAACAAACAAATAAATTTCTTACTATAAATAAATGTTAATAGTGTAAATCATTTAACCAATTTACATTC